ATCCCTTCTCCTCCTGGGATTTTAGGCACACACATCCCGCGTAAGTTTCAAGCTGCTGGGTCTGGGACTCGAACTGCAATCAGCCATGTGGGAGTCCAGCAAGGTAACCATCACACCATCTCCTGGTCCCACAGGTGCATAATTTCTGACATGCCCAAATAATGTGAAGGATGACCAAGGTCATGATGGGAGGTAGAACAAATAAAGAACTGAGTCAGGTAGGGTCCGGGGACTGGAAACAGTTGAATGAGCCGGAGCTACGAGTCTGCCACCGGGCCTGCTCTGGAGAACAGAAACCCAGGCCAAGCACTCCCCAGTGGCCACCCTCAGGTTCAACCACAATGATTGATGCAAGGAACTAAGACAGCAGGAACCCCCCTCCCCGGTCCCATCCCCATGGCCTGAACACCCAGTTCAAGACACTGGCGTACTGGTTCAATTTGGGGATCCCTCAGCAGTCCGAAGGAACACACATGCTGAGACTGACTCTGTCTTTGACGTTGAAAGGAGCCAGATTTCAATCCTGGCTCAAGGGCTGATTTGTCAAGCACAAACTCAGTGCATCCCTCTGAACTTGACAAAGTCCATTTGTAAAATGGGGTATTGGTATCTTCCTTGAAGGGTTATGATGCATAACCTGACGCCTTCATGGTAGATCCTGGAGTCAGACACCCAGTGGCTACTTATGCTGGTTCCTCCAGTCTCCAGCTGGGAACCTTTGGGAAGACTCTCAACTTCTCTGTGACTCTGCTCATCCCTGGCTCAGGCCTGAAGCAGATGCTCTGGCACACCCATACCCCTCTCCACCATTCCCCTGCAGGCATACAAGCACCTACAATTTTTTGCCTTTTTTTTTTTTTTTTTCTTTTTTTTTTTTCGAAGAGGTAGTGGGTACTGCATATGGGACAGGCTAGGAATGCTGGGATTAAGACTCCTGAAGGGGTCCTCCATTGTGATTAGCTAGAATTGCCACCTAACTACCCCTACTTCCTCATCACCTGACCAGACAATGCTGGGTCCAAGCCTTCCAACGAATCTTCACAGGACCTCACCTCATTGGTCCACAGTGAGGGTGGAAGGGAGTCAGGACTATGGCTCCACTAACTTCTTACAGAGCTTAGGGATCTCATTCCAAATTAACCACTTAGCTCCCATCCCAGGGCCTGTTCCCATAGTTGGACCTCAGTACTCCTTCATGGAGTTACCATCAAGATCAAATGAGGGAACAGATACAAAATTTATAGACGCCACACAGTAAAGGCATGACAGTTGGGTGGATCATCGTGAGTTCAATAAACTAACACGTGGCATACCCAAAGTATTTTAGCACAGCACTGGGCACATGAAATAGGATTAAACCTTGGCTGGGTCATCTCCCAGATGTGAAAACTGAGGCTCAGAGACTTGGGTCACTTTCCAAGGGTTGCATTCAGTCAGGGGTTCAGTTCAGATACAAACCCAGATTCCCCCTGCTCTTCGTAACCTCCTCAAAAGGGGAAAAGCAGAAACCAAATGGGGGCTTTTAGGATGATGGGCGTTAACATCTACTCCCGAGCCTCCTTTTTCTTGGTCTGCTGGGAATTCAGGAGCTTGAACAAAGGTAGCTTTGGAGCTTCGAGCCCTACAGATACAAGGCATGTAGAAACAAAGCCAGGTCTCTAAGTCCCGGAGCTTGACCCTTCCCCTAACCATCCATCATTTTGAATGGGGATTTTATGCCCCCTCTACGCCAATCACCTCTTCAATTACCTCTCAGGAGGAGGGAGAAGCCCAGTGGCATCTGATGTCCCATTTGATTTAGGGTAAGTCACACTTAAGAGGGCATCTGAGGTTAAAGAACACGGAATTCTGGGCCTGTTTATAAATCAACAGGCTTGAGGTTTTCATTATTCACCTTCTAGAGCACAGAACGATATGACTCATTGGATCATAAAAGAGATCAAATAACTTTGTCGCTAATAATTCTTTCCCTGACCCATTCTCTGGCACATTTGGTTTGTAAACAGAGTTTTAATGGCATCCCTTGGACATAATAACATCATTTCTTTATAGCACCTCGGCCGCCTAGTCACTCTTGGCTGTAATCGGGTTTAGTTTTAAGCCTCCCTCATTTGTGAGTGCTAATGTTGTTTGGTGTTTTAAGAACGACTTAGAACTGGGGAGATGGCCCCCTTGAAAGGGTTGAACCAACCCCTTTCAGAATGCAAGCCTCTGGTGAGGCTAGCCATGAGGCCATGACCTTCACCCCAAACCATCACCAGAATCTTGAACCCTGAGACCCATGTCCCTCCCCTGGAAACTGCTTTCTTTGGAAGTCCTCAGTGACCTCGAAGTTGGTCTCTAAAAGTGTCAGAGAAGTCGAATGACTTCTTGGAGCCACATGTGATTTCACGGGGAAGACGGGATCGTTCATGAACTCACCATGGCACACAAAGACACTCTGGGTTTGGCTCTGGAGGTAATAACAGGGTAGCTGAATGACCATGAAGTCGTGTGAGAGCATGAGGGGAAAAAAAAAAAGAGTTGAACGGATTAAAGGGGTGGAAAATACCCCTCCGGGCAGGCTTTCCCAAACTTCAATCATTTCTGCACCACGCTCTACAATTTCAGCCAGATTTGAGCATGCCTCTCATTATTATTTACTTTGGTTTTTTTTTTTTAATTTCTTTATTTAAATGGACTCACTTCATACACTTTTAAATGCTTGCCATAAATAGGATGTAACCATAAAAAAATAATACGGGTCCACAATCCTTAATCCAAAACCCTCAGAACCAGGTGTTTTAGGATTAAGAATTTTTCTGACTTGAGAAAGAAAACCCAGTACAGAACCACCCAAGACTGCATGCTTGATTAGATACTTTCATAGTTTTGCAGCAAAACCATGTTATTACCCACTTGCATTAAGATAGATTTTTTTTTTTTGAAGAGGTTTTTGCTATAGGGCACATGTGCTCACCAGAAAGACACAGAGAGATAGAAAGTGAGGTCTCATCCCACCCCGCCAGGGGGGATGGCCATGCCACAATCCCTTCTGTTCCATTCTCTTCTTGGGATCTTGGGCATGTACACACACATGCCCAGCGTGTGTTTAAGCCACCAGGTCTGGGACTCGAACCGCAATCAACTACATGGGAGTCCAGTGACAGGCATTATGCCAACTGCTGGTCCCAAGATAGATTTTTAAAAGGCTATAAATAATCTTGGAGCCAGTAGGTGGCCTGGTGGTTAAGGTGCTGGTCTCCCACATGATTAATCATGGTGGCTTGAAACTCATGCTGGGCACATATATGAGCATGTCCAAAATTCCAGGAGGAGAATTAAGAAGAGTTTGCAGCATGGCCTACCTCCCTGGAGGGTAATTTCTCACTTTCCCTCTCACTGTCTCTCTCTCTCTGGTAAGTGCGCGTGTCTTATGACAAAAATCTTTAAAAAAAAAAAAAAAAAAAGCTAAAAATAATCTCATATTTGTTTGGGGTAGGTATGGCTACCAAATTTTCAATGGTGAGAAAAATCTATTTTCAGAGAACTTTTGATTTTAAATTTTCACATAAGGGATTATTAACCTGACTAGCAGGGGTGGAACAAATACGATTAAGTTCCAATAGACACTACTCACAATTGCCAACATATGGAATCAGCCTACATGTCCATCAATAGACAGATGCATAAAGAAAATGACAGGGGACAGCAGGTGGCATGGTGGTTGAGGCACTGGACGCCCACATGGCGGATCATGGTTCAAATCCTAGACCTCACAGCTTTCTTTCTCACCTCCCCTCTTTCTTTCTCTACACCTCTTTCCAGTCAAATTAAAAAATAATAATAGGGACCAGCACTTAGCGTAATGGCTATGTCGCTGGACTCCCAGGTAGTCGACTGTGGTTCGCATCCTGAACCAGGTGGCTTAAAATTCATGCTGGGTGCATGTGCGCGCATGCCCAAGATCCCGAGAGGAGAATGGAGGAGAAGGGATTGCGGCGTGGCCATCCTCCCTGGGGGGTGATTTCTCACTTTCTATCTGTCTGTCTCTCTCTGTCTGTCTGGCAAGCACACGTGCCCTACAGCAAAAACCTCTCCAAAAAAAAAAAAAGAATAAACTTTTTTTAAAAAAGAAAATGTGGTGTATATATATATATATATATATACACACACACACACAGTGGAATATCACTTGGCCATAATGAAACAAAATTCTGTCATTCGCAACAACATGAATGAACCTGAAGGGTATTTCATTAAGTGAAATAACCCAGCACAGAAAGAGAAAGCTCACATACTCTCCCTCATCTATGGAAACTAAAAATGATGACCTTCTATTGGGTCATCAGAAAAGCCATGATGTATTTTTCTCTGTTGTTCTATGCAAAAATGAATCACACCTTTTCTAATGACCCACTAGAAGCAAGAAGGAAAAGAGTGACTACCAGAAGTTGGAAGGGTAGGGGGACAGGAGGGAAAGGGAGATATTGACTCATAAATACAAAATTATAGATGGATAAAAGCACAGATCTCTGGGATCATATAATATCGGGTTGTTGGAAAAGTCATGACATATTAGAAAAGCACAGAAAAAATATGTCATGACTTTTCTAACCATCCAGTAGCACAACAAGGTCCCTGTAGTTAATAACAAATGACTATAAATCTTAAATTGGCTTTCTAAAAAAGGAGACATTTGAATGTCCCCAGTGCAAAGGTATGACGCGTTTTTATAATGACAAATGTGCTAATTATCCTGATTTGATCATTACGCATTGTATAATACTACACTGTACCCCATTAATATCTGTAAGTATCCTAGGTAACACACACACACACACATGCACGCACACACAGGCATGACTATATTTCAACAAAACAATTTAGAAAACCAGGCAGTGGGTCATATTTTGTCCACTCTTAATCCAGTCTAGTTTTTCACGTAGCAGATGAGGAAACCAAGCCCGAGAAGGGAAATGACTCACTCAGGATGATCAGCAGCAGACTTCAAACCGGAAGTTGGGTCTCATTTTCAATGTTAAGAGGTTGGTAGTCTGGAGAAATAAAGAGAGAAGAAAAAAAGCTCAGATTCTGTCTTCAGCTGCAGGAATAATTTTAAGGGAAAGATTCTTAGAAGTTACTCTCCGCACCTAAGTAAGTCGTAGTTTGACAGTTAAGTAGGGATGAGGGGTTTACATAGATATTCAGAAGGCCCCCCACTGGGCCAAGGATAAAATGCTTAAAAGGGGGGCCAGTGGGTGGCATGGTGGTTAAGGTGCTGAATTCCCACATGGCCGACCACGGTTCAAGTCCTGGACCTGGCTGGTGCCTTGCTGGCTCCCTTTCCCTCTCTCTCTTTGTGTCTCTCTCTGGTGAGTGTATGTGCCCTTTAGCAAATTTTGAAATAATAATAACTAAGTACATTTTTTAAAAAATGCTTGGGGACCAGGAGATGGTGTACTGGTTACATCGCTGGGCTCCCGCATGGCCGACCACAGTTGGAGTCCTGGACCTGGTGACTTCAAACTCACAATGGGCAAGTATGCGAGCATGCTCAAAATCTCAAGAGGACAATAGAGGAGAAGGGACTGCAACATAGCCATCCCCCTGGGGATAATTTCTCCCTTTCTGTCTGTCTCTCTGGCAAGTGCACATGCCCTATAGCAATCTCTCTTAATAAAAAAAATTAAAAATCCTTGAAAGGCAACTAAGGAAATCTGTCAAGCGTCTATCCTTAGAGTTCTTGAACAGGGGCCAGCAAGTGGCATGGTGGTTAAGGTGTTGGACTCCCATGTGGCCAAACATGGTTCAAGTCTTGGACCTGGTGGCTTGCTTTTGCACTCTCTTTCTCCCTCTCTCTCTGGTCAAATAGAAAAATAATAATAATAAATAGAATTTGTTTTTTTTAAAAAAAGACATCTTGAACAGGAAAATCATCTACTGGAATTGATCTGGGTGGGATTTTCCTGCTCCAGGCAAAGGGGTTTCATACTTCCTCGTGGCTATAGAACAGTATGATACATTTGAAGAGGGTGGAGAACCAAAAGGGAATTTAATCTAGAGGTCAATGAGAAGGATATGATTCTTCTATTCCATTTGATTCGACATATCTCAATTGAGGATCCAGACAGGGACACAGCAGTAACACAACATTCTGCAAGGCTGACCCTCATGGGAAGGTTCCCGGTTCACATCCAGAGAGCTCCCTGAGCACACACCAGTTATGTGTGTGTCTGTGATCCGGGACTGACTAAAACTGGGGGAGGGGGGGTCATGGTGTGAAGACTCTGTAGAGGGTGTCCCTTGCTCTCTGGCTCAAGGAAGAAATATATATATATATAAAATTTATATACATATATTTTATTAAAATATATTTATATTTTATATATTTGTATATATTTATATATTTTTAAATATATTTTTATATTTTTTAATTGAGCTCCAGATTTTTAGAAGTTTTGCCTTAGTGTGCTTGCCCGAGAGTGAGATAGAGACAGTGAGAGGAAAAGTGAGAAATTACCCCCCAGGGGGGGACAGCCACATCGCAATCCCTTCTCCTCTGTTCTCCCAGCATCCTGGGCACACATGCTCACATGCCCAGCATGAGTTTCAAGCCACCGGGTCCAGGGTTCGAACCGCAGTCAGCCATGTGGGAGTCCAGCAGTTACGTCGTAACTGCTACACCATCTGCTGGTCTTGAACTCCAGATTTCTTTTAGACACTGTGTAGGCCCTGTTAAAGATGGAAGTACATCTGAAATATGGCATCTATCCATGAGAAATACATGATTAAGAAGCAATATGCTTGCTTTTCTTTCTCTGGGAATGAGATGATAGAGGAAAGATAGTTACTAAAATTTTGAGCAGAAACGACCTCTGAGGGGCCACATTCAAGGTGAAGAAAACAGCAATGGACAAAGGAAAGGAAGCAGGCAGCCCCACGCCATTCTCCAAAAACTACTACTATGTCATCGGGAAAGTCATGGCGTGTTTTTCTCTGCAAAAATTCATCATGACTTTCCCTATGACCCAATCCATGGTTAAACAGCCTTTGGCAGCTTCAGGGGCTTCACTGAAACACAGCCATGTCCCCAGTAAAGGATGAATTAAAAGTATCTTTTCTCAATCTTTTGCCCTATACCAAGAGGTGAGGGCAACTGATAAGGAATTCTCTCTCGTGTCAATTCAGAGAAGAAACTACCACGAGAGTCATGAGGTGTAGAGAGGGATCAACAGAGCAGAGGAAGAGTTTGAAGAGAAGAAACAAAGAGGAAAGAGGAGTAAGAAGGAAAAAGGGGAAGAGAAAGGAGAAAGAGAAGACTGGAGTGGGAGGAGAGAATAAAGGGAAAGAAAAAGAGGAGATCAAAGAAAAAAAGAGAGGAGAGACGAGAAGGGGCAAAAAAGGAAAGAAAAGGAAGAGCAGAGGGCTACCCAGTGGCATGGTGGTGAAGGCAGCTGGACACATGGCTCGCTGTGCAATTCGTGTCCCAGACCCTGTGGTTTGAAAAACACACCAGGTATGGGGGTATGGAGGTATGGGGGTATGGGTGTGGGTGTGGGTGTGGGTGTGGGTGTGTGTGTGTGTGTGTGCGCACGCACGCCCAAAATTCCCAGAGGAAAATAAGGAGTCTTTCTCTTTCCAGCAAGCACATGTACTCTATAGAAAATTTAAAAAAAAAAAAAAAAAAGGTAGGGACAGGGACTAGCACATGGCATAGTATTTAAGTCACTGGACTCCAACATGACTGACCATAGTTCGAGTCCTGAACCTGATGGCTTGAAAATCTCACTGGGTGCATGTGCATGCATGCCCAAGGTCCTCAGAGGAGAATGGAGGAAAAGGGCAACTACAGTATGGCCATCCCCCCTGGGGGAGTGACCTCTCACTTGTCCTCTGTCTCTGTCTCTCTATAGCAAGTGCACACACCCTAAACCAAAACCTCTTTAAAAAGGGCTGGGAGAAGGGTATTCTGGTCATTGCTTTCAACTCCAAAGGACACAGAAAGAGTGCAACAGAGGGTATCATGGGGTTCTTGTCTTTTAGGGGAGGCATGAGAAGACTTTAAAGGGGCAGTGCTATGATGTGACTTACATTATAAGAAGGCTTCCCTGCCTTCCATGGGAAGGATGGGCTGAAGGAGCAAAACTGAGAGGAGCAGTGACGTTGTTACCATTGTCTGGTGTGAAGGATGCAAGAAGAGAGACAGAATAGAGAGCATGAGAAACTCCACCATAGATAGTAAAGGGCTGTGGAGAAGAAGAGACAGGTAAGGGGACTACCAAGTGTTATAGTGATTAAGGTGCTGAACTCTCACATGGTCGATCTTGGTTCAAGTCCCGGACCTGGCAGCTTGAAATGCACAGTGGTTGCATGCATGTGTGTGCACCTGAAATCTCAAGAGGAGACTGGAGAAGAAGGGATTGTGGCATGGCCATCCCCATGAGGGGATGATTTCTTGTTTTCTGTCTTCTCTGTCTTTACAGCAACCGTACATACCCTATAGCAAAAAACAAGAACAACGAAATGTCAGGTAAGACATCCTCTCATGTGTCTGGATTCAGGAACTCAGTCTTTGTTGGGATGGGAAGCCTAAGAAACAAAGCAAGACTCATTACAGGTAAAAGGAATCCCAGAAACATCCTTAGAAGAAAAGAGAAGGAGAAAGAAACCAGACTGCTGGGCAACATGACAGGCAGCCTCTCATTAATTGTCCCAGCTGACATGTGTGATTGGCATGGTACCCCCACAACTCAGGTGTCAAGTGAACATCAGGGGAGTTAAGCCATTTATCCAAGGCCATGCCTTTGCACATCCAAACCATGTTCACCATCCAAAGCTCCAATGCCTGTGACCTTTCTTGGTTTGTTTTTCTATCAGAAACACACGAATGGGGAGAGGTATGTATCGCACGCCTTGAACTTGGGGTTGACATATGGGAAAGGAGGGAGTCTGAGATCTGATCGTGTATGTAAATAAGTCCCAGGTCTCTTTAGACACCAGATGGTAGACACCTGGTCTCTAGTTCCAGGCCCATGTCTTGCCAACAGGTGGGACCCCCAAAACAGAGGATTTATAGGGATCCCTTATTTTATTATGCCAGGAGGAGGAAAAGGAAAGTCTGTTTTCAGGCTGTTATGTACTACACAGCCCGGCTGGCATTTGGAGAAAATCCTTCTGGAAGGAAATGAGTCAGGTCAACCAAGTTCCCAGCATAGTATCCCTCTCACCTGGAAGCCTACTGCCAAATGACCCCAGGGAAGAGTCAGTCCAATGAAAGGCAGAATCCTTTGCAAAGTAAAACTCACTTCTGGGGCACTGGAGTCCCTGGGAGGCTGAGAGGAGCCACCCTCGAGAGGGAGGAAGCAGAGGTGAGGGGAAACCCGAGGTAACAAGGATAATAACAGCTCACCTCTGCGGCACCTTTCATGTGGAGATCTCAGAGTCATTTACCACCACCCAATTAATTCTCTCAACACCCACTACACCACCAGCTCCCAAAGGAGGTGTCATTATCATCCTTTTATGAGCAGGGAAACTAAGAGGTTAGTTGACTGGCTCAAAGCCACAGAACAGTTGGAAGGCAGAAGCCAAATTTGGGATGATTGCCTTCCTCTGATCATAAGGAACTAGAGAGAAAAGATCCATTTATAGGAGGAGAACTGACCTAGAATTATCACTCTGTCCTTCATTTATTCATCATGAATCCATGTAGCCATTCACCAATTCATTTATTCATCCATCTAGCTATCATTCCTTCCTTCCATCTTTTTTTTTTTTTTTTTGAGATTCTTGCTATAGGGTGCTTACTATAGGGTGCATGTACTCCTCTCTCTTGCCAGAGAGACTGAAGGAGGGAGGAATACAGAAAGTGAGAAATCACTCCCTCAGAGTGATGGCCATGCCACAGTCCCTTTTCCTCCATTCTCCTCTCAGGATATAGGGCATGCACCCAGCATGAGTTTCAAGTTGATGGGTCCAGGATTCAAACTGCAGTCGGCAACATGGGGGTCCAGCACCTTGACCACTATGCCACCTGCTGCCCCCCCCATCCATA